TTGCATTTTCTGGCATTTTCTGGGGGTTTTGGCGGACCTATAAAATATAGTTACTATGAAGAAATGGTTTAATAAATAATTGGGTATTGTTGTTGGGATTTTCCTGAAGAGAACCAGAGTTTTCCGATGGAAAAATATTGATTTTCAAGAATTCTATACCATTTCTACGAAAAGTGTTTTTTTCCCATATAGAATACATGGAAAACTTTGAGCACTTTGAGCGACCTCAAACTATTTTTTTTTATAAAAAAAAATAAAATAAATAAAAAATAGGGGTATATTTTTTTTGGTATTGAACAAGCATAAAAATTCCAACTTTACTTTTTCACATACATTTTATGTCCACCCTAATGTACATTCTCTCCCAACACTTGTGTTTTCTTTCCTTGGACGTACTTAAATCTCGATTTCTTAGCTCGAAAATCGAAAACAATTTTCATGATAATCTCATCTAAACTTGTATATACATTTGTAGTATGTATGTATGCACATTAGGATGCATCGCTCGCCATACAAAAAAAAAATACGATACGGCTTTCGCCAAAACGCTCCAGGAAATATATTAAGATTTACGTAAACTGCACGTATTAGTAAATAACTAGTAATTTTTAATCAAAAAAAAAATACTTTAATTCTCATATAAACATTTAAGAGTACCATTAATTTCTTCATGATGTAATGTTCGGATCTAAACTAAATTGGTTCGGGACCACCTCTGAGACCCTACCTTTCCGATAAAAAATAATTTCTTCATGATGCAATAATTGGATCTAAACCAGATTAATATGGGACCTTCTGAGACCCTACCTTTCCGATAAAAAAAGAACTATCGAAATCGGTTGACGTCCAATTTATGCGGCAACAAACATACAAAAATAAAAATAAAAATATTCCGACGAATTGATAACCTTCTTATTTTTTTAAAGTCGGTTAAAAACTATAAAATTAGGTCTAAGAATTACTTTTTTGTAAAAAATCACATGAGAAAGATGTTAAAAACTTATATCAACGGCATCAAAATAATGGAAATTTTTGGAGATATTTTCAAGTCCATCTAGCTCACGTGATACTTAATATTTTTCCGAAAGGTAATGTTTTATTATTCTGGTGGAAGAACTGCCACTTTTTTTGGTGGTGCACCCTACTGTAAATATGTGCATGCTTCAATGTTTTGATTTAACTCGAAAGGTATTGACACGATGTAATAAGCAGAGAAGCATTAAAATGAAAATGTTTCGGCAATGCGAAAAGTGTAGCAAATGTTTGTGTGTAAATTTTTTATGAAGCTATTCCTGAAATTGCTAATAAATTGGAACATTAAAATGTAAGCAAAGTTATGCGCAAAATTGAGGGATTCCGTTAAATAAAAAGTGCGAGCACATAAACATATTACATTTTGAATTTAGCATTGCATATAAATTGAAGTTAGAAATTTATTAATACAAATTGGTTTCATTCGTCAATAAACTTAGAAGTGGAGCAGTTTTCAATCTGTGTGATTAATGTTTTATCTGGGAAATAATGCTACAGTAAAACTTGCTTAAGTTAGATGCTATCTTTCGCAGCTACTCAGGCGGGTTGTGTACTTCAAAGAGGTAAGGAATTGGTTATATAGTGAAAGGAGCAAAAAAATCTGAGGAAGCTAAGCTAGTTGGGCACTTAAGCTAGGTCAAGTAAGCTGATTTTACTGTACTTATGTATTTCACACAAATTTGTGCGCGACTAGTCGAACAGCTTATGATAGAGTTCAGATTAGAAAAATATTGCGCAGAATGGCGAGGAGAGCAAATTCCACAGATCTGTGTCCCATTTCTCCTGATTTTAACATTCAACTCATTGTCATTTTCTTTCCATTGATCTTGTGCTCTACTGTGTTGTGCCGAATTTTGACTAGCCATTGAAATTAAAAAAAGAAAAAAATTCGTGCCATTTAAAAATGGGAAAACGAAACGAGCTTTGTCATTAAAATTTTTTGTCATTTAATGCCCAGTAGAAATACGGCATTAGAGAGCAGATCTAATAAAATTTGCCAGGCAGCTGGGTGATGATTTCATGCCAGGGAGGGGCACTATCACAAACAAGCGTGAGCAAAAACTTGTGCGAGAAATCGAGAAACAGAATGGACCCTTATTATGTCGAATTTCCACTAGGGATTGAAATGAGAAAAACTTTTTGCTATTTAAAAAATGTTATGCGTAAACAGAATTAGTGACTATTATTTTCAATGTAATAAAACGAATAAAGTCTAGTCTCCATTAGCGCAGTTCCGAAAAACGAGATACAACATAACATATTTCTCTTAGTTTTTTTTTTATAAAATTATAGTTTATTAAACATCAATTTTTCAATTTAATTAGAACTCGGTGAAAATTCAAGATATACCAAAAAATTTCATTAAAATCTTCAACTTTTCAATTCGATTTCTTAGAATTTGATTATGCAGTTTTGAAGCCCATAAAAATTTAGTACAATAAGGTGCAAGTTTCAAGTCTAAAAATTACCGCTGATTTTTTTAATTTTTTTGTCAAGGGTGTTTCGCTTTTTTCCATATAACGCATGAACAAAATCTATTTTTATATGTAAGAAAATGCGCGTATATATGTAAAAAAAAAGATTTTGTTCATACATACGTTACATGGAAGAAAATACTCAACACCCGCGACAAACAATTTCTAAAAAATCAACGGTAATTTTAAGGACTTGAAACTTGCACTTTATTATATTGAATGGGCTACAAATAAAATAAAAAGTTTGAAATTTTGGTGTTTGCTTTGAAAGCTTTGAAACTTTTATTTATGTGGTTTCTGTTATAAATTGAAATACATTTTAAACGAAAACTATTAAAGATAAATAAATAAACATAAGTTGCAAACAAGAACATTTTGAATTTTGCTACTATCTTATTGGGCGCAGCTGTATATGTTATATATACTTCTCAATGGTACCTGTATTTTGTATTAGACAGCATTTACTAATTTTTGTGTGTATTTTAAATTTATAGCATTTCTTTTTATGTATTTGGTTGTTTGATGTGCAACAAAGTACTTACTTTTAACCTAACTAAGTATTAATAAACGTACCTAAATAAATCAATGTTGTGTGTATTTGTAATAATAAAAAAGTCGATATTTTTTAATAAATTTCAATACCCATTTTGGAGATATTTTGTGCCCCAATTAAACGAACGAATGCTCGATGTCGTCATAAAAAATAAAAAAAATGTAGAAGGCCATAAAAGCACTTAAATGTTTTTATTTTTGTTTAATATTTTATTTATATTTTTGACATCTACTATACTTTTTAATTTTCCATCTGTTTTTTAAATTATTTGATGTTATAGCTGTTTATTTTAAATGTTTTGAAATTTTTTCCATTTTATTATTTTCTTTAAATTTTTTGTACCTTTTCTTACTTTTTTAATTTTATATTTCTACCATATTTTTATTTATACTATATTTTTTTTACTATATTTTATATTTCTACTATAAATTTTATTTTATTTGTTTTTAAATAAATTTTTAACAACTTTTTAATTTACGTATGCATATTCTCTTTAATTTATTATATTCTTTATTTTTACTTTACTCGATAATATATTAAAATTTGTATTAATCAAAGTTGAGGAAAAAATTTAAAACATTCGAATGTAAATTTTTTTTAAATAATTTTTTTTTAAATAAATTTTTTTTCAAATTAAAACATTTTTTTGTCTGCTGTAATGGAGTTTCGAAATATACTTAGTTAAGTACTTCTCCATAAGTTTTATTAAATCGTAAAGATAAACAACTTGCTCTTGGCTTAAGAAAGTCATGGGCATTTAGTTTTTCAATTTCGAAATTTCTTTTGGTTTTAAATATTTCAAGTTTATATTTCGCTGTTGTTATTTTTTTGCCTTATGTCAATTTATATTTAACAATTTGGTTGAGCTTAAGGCCGTTTTTAATGAAATTTTTTGTGGAAACACCACAAAAATGTTTTACCACAAAAATGCTCATTATAAATGGTTTAGATTTTTTTTATTTATATTTTTATTATTTTTATATTTTTTTTTGTATTTAAATTTGTTATCATTTTGAATTTTTATTCTTAATTCTTTATTATTTAAAATTTTCTGTACTTTATTATTTGTATTTTATTTTGTATTTTATTATTTGTAACCTTTCTATTTGCAATTTTTTACTACTGGTAATTTTTTTGCTATTTTTTTTTATTATTTGTATTTTTTTATTGTTTGTATGTATTTTATTATTTGTAACTTTTTTGTTATTTGTATTTTTTGTTGTTTGTAATTTTTTGTTATTTGTAAGTTTTTTGTTTTTTGTATTTTTTTTTGTTATTTGTATTTTTTTATAATTTGCAGTTTTCTTATTTGTGATTTTTTATTTATTTTTTATTATTTGTGGGTTTTTATTATATTTAATTATGTGGCTGTTGCTATTATTTTCTTCATTTAGTTATTTTTTATTTATTTTTATATTTTCTATAAAGTTTTTGTATATTTTTTCATATACTTTTTATATATTTTGTATGTATTTTTCTTTTTTTTCTTTTTAATTTAACAAACATTTCATTTAATTAATTGATTTTTTTGTGTTTTATTTTTATTTTATTTTTTAATCTTTCTGTTTATTTGTTTTGGTCTTTTCTGTTTATGTTTTTACATTTGTTCTGTTTAAGGTTCTTTTCTGTTTATGTTATTTTTATTTTTTCTATCTTTGCTACACCAAGAATATGATCTATCGTAAAAGTTGCATATTTACCTTAGCCTAACCGTATGTCTGAATGTTGGTTTCTCTGTAACTATCAGCAGCAAAAAAAAAACGAAAATACCCTAATATCCTTTATGTTGTACTCCTAATATGTGTATCTATCTAAATGTGTCACTAGCTTGATTGTATGTATGTATGTATGCTTGGATGTGCCTGCAACTATTCAACTAGCGAAATCAAATTTAATTTTTCTAATTTCTTTCTTCTCTTCTCTTCCTGCCTCCCCTGCAGCCTTTGCTACAACCAACAGCAGATAATTCAAATATGAATGGCTATAGTCGCAAGTCACCATCAAAGCGTCGCTATGAGGGTTCCAAGTATCCAGGTAAGTGTGCACTGCAATATAACTGTATTGGAGCGGAAGTTTTCTCGTTTCCGGCATAGCTTTGATGACTAGTAGCTAGTAAATGCGGTGGGTGGGAAGGAATGGCAGCTGATTTGCAAAAGCCACTTTCAAAGCAGCAATACTCCGATGTTTTGTTGTTGGAAACGATGATTTACCGAGCTTCCGCTTTTCAGGGATAATTAATTTGCTTTTGTATGCAATTCACTATTCTATTCTATCATTTATTTATTTATTTATTTATTTTTGTTTTTTTTTTTTCGTTTCCTGCCAGCCTTGCCAAAGAAGAAGCCACGTACGGGCAAGGAGCGTGTACCGCAACCGAAGAATACCGTCGCCATGCTGAATGAGCTGCGTCATGGTTTGGTTTATAAATTGGAGTCGCAAACTGGGCCGGTGCATGCACCGCTATTCACCATTTCCGTTGAGGTGAGTGGCTGCGTATTTCGTATTTTATTTATTTTTATTGAAAACCGTTTACTTGTTTATTCCCCCCCCCCGCCAACATTTATCAATGCAGCGCTTTTAGTTGTCGAACTTTTTTATTTTGTTCGCACACCCTTTATGTCGTTAGCGTCGAAATGTTTCAATTCTAATGGAATTTGCATGATCGCATTTTGCGCAGTGGCGCAACGGTGGTAGTGTTACGAATTGAGGTGAAGTGGGAGGCGCCTGGCCTGGCGTGCGTGTGCTAGTGTGTGTTACCGAAAATTGTTGGCAATACTTGTTTTTTTTTGCTGCTGAATGAAAACGAGATTTGCTGAAGCATTTGAAGTGTTTGTATGAATTTGCGTACATCGGTTCTATGCATTTGCTTGGTTCAATCCGGTCTTTTGTATCAATATTGCGCTTCGTTTTTTTGTTTGTTTTGTATACTTTTTATTTCACCATTTTTTGATGCTTCCAACTATTAAATTTTTTCGTTTTGCTACACATTTCTGCCAGCGCTAGGTTCTATACTTCGAAATAGTTGGAAATTTCCATCGAATTTTTAGTGAGTTTTTAATGCGTTTTCTTCTTCTTTTCCAGTTGTATATATTTATTTATTTATTTAGAGAAGGGCGGACTTTTTCCATGCGCTTTAAAATTAGTTTACTCAACGGCGATGAATGCGGTTATTTTTTTTTTTATTTAATGGCTAAGTCAATAATAAATTAGTATTTTTTTTATAAACGTTACAGTGTTAAAAGTCAATTTATAACGCAGTATGTAAAAATGCAAGGCAAAAAATACACAAAATTATTTTAGTTTATTGCTCTTTGATAGCACTGGATTCAGCCTGAAAAACACTGGCAGAATCAGGAAGTCGAACGGAGTATTAAATTCGAATATCAGTCGATTCAGTAGAGATATCCCTACGATAGAGCCCATTTTGGAGCCGGCGCTAAAAGAGTTGTGTCGAAACGTTAAAAACGCAGTTTTCTTGCTAGGTTCTCGAATAACTGAATAATGCACATAGTGTTATTAAATTAGCTAATTTTCTTCCGTCTAATGATGTGAGCGTCTATTTTGACATTTTCTTGTCTAGGTTGACCTAGCTATTTTCCACTAAAATACCTCTTCTTCCTCCTAGACTTCATAAACAACCACGGTATACTACTTACGTAGTACTACTCGAAAAAATTTGAAGAATAAAAAAGTAATAAATATCATAAACTGTATAAGGACAACACTGCGAATGCTGTTCTCAGCGATCAATATACAAACAATGTGAATCAATTAAGTGTACTGGATAAGTTTCTTTATAATCGCTAAATTGGTAGACTGGAAGCTGAGCTAAATGAAAGTCCTAAAGCAGTTTGAAATTTTTATTTTTTTATTTATTTTATTTTTTTATTTATTTTATTTTTTTATTTATTTTATTTTTTTATTTATTTTATTTTTTTTAATTTTTATTATATGTGCTTCAAAGGGAAATGCTTTCAGTCTTTGCCTAACACAGTTGAATGCTTTGCTGAGTTCTTCCACCGTGCGACAGTCAATTTTACACACGAAAAAATCAGTATCTTCACAAAACTGGGGGCCAAATATAGATTCGACACATTGTACAAAAATTAGACTTTCTTGATCCCAAAAATTTCTATTTATGTGCATATACAAAGAATTTTTTTTTTATTAAAAACACTTGTTCCCTCTATATAAACTCCTGGCCCCTTTGGTGAAAGGTTGGCTACGCCCTTGTATACGGTCAGTTTGTTCTTTTAAAGCGCATACATGGTTCCAAAATAACGATTCCAGTATCTTCATTTATGTATATTGTAACTATCAATATCTTAAAAAGGGAAGTGTACATTTTTTTTTTATCTAAAACTTATAAAGTTAGAAGGACGAAATTCGAGGATGTGGTAGTTTACGTGTTAGTCCTTGACATATATTTTTTTCAAAAATAAATATTGGAAATTTCCAAGGATATTCACGACATTTCAATACTTATTCGTCGTGGTGCAACAAAAAATTATTATACCCATATTGTTACTCTACAATGCACCAAATCTTTTAATTAATTTTTTTATTCAATCATATCCTGGAAATTTCAAAGTCCTTTAAAAATTAAAAACTCAGTTATACTATATTTGGCCCCAAGTTTTATATTGAATATATTGATTTTTTTGTGTGTTTTAAAGAAATTTGATTTTTGTCGCACGGTGTAATCAAAATAACTCCCACGCTCGCTCGAATTTATCCGAACGCATTGACATTGGTTATCTCTTAATCACTGAATTGGATCTAAGTATTGCTATGTCCACGCTTAAACCTTCGCTAAAATGCGATAGTGATGACCTCTGTGCCTATGTCTGATAGTTTTTTGGGCGTTCTGTAAAAACTAATTGTAAACGCGCCTTTCAAACCCTTTTCACGGCAGATGTTTCGTCCTTCATCAGCCTACATATTGCTATAAAAGGCCAAGTACTCGTCTATATACCATTTGTACAGAGCTCTCGGTATGGGATTTTGATATAGAAATTTCTGTCGAAACAAATTTCTTTTAGTACGGAGTCGAAAAATCCCCGTCTTTCCAACTCTGGTATTTTACCCAAAAGAAGTCACTGTTGCTTAAAGCTTAAACAGACGGCAGCGTTGATTCGGCTTAGCTCGGACTTAATCCGGATCAACTACAGTTAATTCTCGAGTTATACGGATCAACGCTGCCGTCTGTTTGTGCTTTTAGTCACATTCGCTTTATTTAAAAAGTGAAAAAAAATGTAATTAATAATTTTTAGAATATATTTAATTACTTAAGTCCAATTTTATGTTTTTTTTGGTCCTCATAAATTTCACCTTCTTTGTTTTCTCCACATAATAAAATATTTTAACATCAGATATGCATCGCTTTTAACTTATTTGTTATTACCTTAGACTTGTGAGCTGATTGTTGCGGCTGTTAATTAACTTAAGTTGATTTGTTTGGCACTTAAGTAAATTGATAGAATTTTGTTGTGATTCAACCACAAGGTAGCACAAATAACAGCAGCAATGTTTCATGAATAAAATTTCCAATGAATATCCTTAAATTTTAAGAGTAAACAAGTGCGTCATATAGACGTATGTATGGAAAATATCAGCAATTTCTAGTATTAAGCAAAGCAACTGTGAAAATGCCGACTGATGACCGATGCGAGCAATAATTTGCCGGCTACTATACATATGCACGTTTTATATATAAAAACAAATTTTCTCGACGTTGTATAATCATAAAATCCGCTCACAGCAAAGAATCATTTCTGTTCATTGAACACAATAAACATTATTCAACCAGATAATCCTTAGAGTTGACTGCATTTCAAAAGTTATTGTTTCTCATTCATATGCTTCTGCAGAGAGATGAATGTTGATAGGCTTTCAATTTAATGCACATAGTACATATGCTAAGCGCATGCAATGTCCTTGCTACTTGCTGTCTACACTTTATACTAATTAACCTTAATGCCTGGTGCGGTGAAATGCAAATGTTTGTTTTTATGCATCGGTGATGCTCTCAATCTACTGATACTTTTAGTAGCACCACCTTTTTATTTTATGTATTTTATTAGCTTCGATAGCTTTCGATTCTATAAATAACATAAAAATATATCAACATACGTACATACCTGGAAAGAAAAAAACGTTGTGTATTATGATCCCCCAATGTGTCATAAAATGTGGTAATTTTTATTGCTCGCAATAAAATATTTTGTTTCAAGTTTGGGTCATTTGTGAGGCGAAAAAAAAACTTGCTTCATACTACCTTCAATCGGTTTTAAAATTAGTTAGTTTTACAAATTTCTACGAAAATCGAAAATTGCGTAAAAGTGGTTGAAAAAAATGGTTGGAATTATTTATCTTGAACAACTCGCCTCTGTTTCAATAAATATGATACAAAGTTCTTCTAAAAATGTATCATCTGTCATAAGAGTTTACGGTAAAAAGTTGCCCACCCATTTTTTCGAGTGAAATAAACGCAATTTTCGGAGGAGTTTCAACGCGGCCCAGCTCATGAATGCAATTGAATTGTATTGGTAAAGTATTTTGGAAAGCAGCACATTTTCCGTGCTTATCCTAATGCACATATGTACATACATACAAATAAAAAATAAATGTTGAACAAAAATCCATACATTGGCCAAAAGGAGTTCGACGTATCTGAGTGCTCATTTATTATCCATGTCAGCCACAAATGCGCAGTTCTACTTCGTAACACTGATGAATGAAGATACATACATATTCACATAGATATGTACATACCTACATACATATGTACGTAGGAATATACTTAGAAATGTTAAACCAGGTATAGCGCCTGTAAGTATATCAACACTATGTTTTTTTTTGTAATGTTAAATGATAAGAAACACAAACTTTAATATTTCTAAAAAAGTGAAGTTGAATAAAAAATATTTTTTGTTTTTATTTTACTACGTACAATTAGTCCAGCGTTTTATTAATTTTTTATCCCTATAAATCATTAATAATTTTTATCAAGGTCTTCGAAATAAGCGAAACGCATACCACTTAACCATTTCAAAAATAGTCAGAAGGTGGCTAATCGGTAGAATATGTTGGAGCTTAGATTTGAGGTTATGGATTTTCGCCATGAGCACAGGAAATTCACGTTTTCCTTTGAAAATTCCCTTTTTTATTTGAAATTCACGTTATTCTTCGAAATTCACGTTTTTTTCGAAATTCGCGTTTTCCTTCGAAATTCACGTTTTTCTTCGAAATTCACGTTATTCTTCGAAATTTACGTTTTTCATTGAAATTTACGTTTTTCTTTGAAATTTGCGTTTTTCTTCAAAATTTACGTGTTTCGTCGAAATTCACGTTTTTCTTCGAAATTCACGTTTTTCTTCGAAATTCACGGTTTTCTTCGAAATTCACGTTTTTCTTCGAAATTCACGTTTTTCTTCGAAATTCAAGTTTTTCTTCGAAATTTACGTTTTTCATTGAAATTT